TATGTATTCAGTGTGTCCAAGAAGCCAGATAAGTGTGCTTTTAATTGAGAATATGGAAAACTGTATTACATCCTCATTGTTGTGTTCTGTAGAAGATTTAATGCATTCTACAAAATCTCCATGAAGATGTTTTCATTTATAAGGTAACTAATATTATAGTGCTAAGCAGAAAGGATAGGAAGTGTTATTATACTTTCATACCAATAGGTGGTGGTATTAATGGTGGTTACTTCCTCAAGGCAGCCTCCATGATTTTTCATGTCCACCCTATTCTTTATCCTCACATTCAGTGTGATATAGGTTAAGTTAGAGAAATAGTAACAGACATGAGGCCACCCATTGAACTTATTAGTTAAGATGAGATTTAACCCTGGGTGTTCCCACTGTGCCACTAGCCAGAGAGTCTGACCTGGTTTTAACTGTGACAGAGACCATGAACTGTTAATGTCAAATATTAGAATAAAACTGAAAGAGAGGATTAAAATAATCATATCAAAATATAAATGACATTCCTGAAGAATTTAAAGAGCATGTAAAGAGCAGATTTGCATTATTAATCCCAGCTAACTACAAATGAGAACCATGGACTAAAACCAGGAATTTAGTCAGGAACAAATGCAAAAAGGCTGTTCTTGTAGCAAAAAGAAAATAAAGCCCTTAATCAATGACTGATTAAACTCTTAATTGTTAGGAACAGATGAGAAACAGAAATAAAGGGGAAACAAAAGGGTTGATATTGCGTTCTGATCAGAATCGGAGAAGCAGCACTGGAAAACAATTTACTTTGGCTTTACCATAAATTGCTGATGTATATGTATATTTGGATAAGCTTTCTTAAATCTTCTTTACCTTTTGTGGTTTAGATGGTTGTCCACCCCCCCCCCAGCTCCCAGAATTTTGGTTTTCCTTACCATAAGAAGAAAGTTTGCTGGTCTTCTAATCCACAACCCCTAGTCATCAAAATAATATGCAGACTGTCCTTGTTCTTCTGTCACCAAATTGATATCTTAGCATATATGCAAATAATGGATGTACTGAAAGGCAGACACTCAAATAGAGAGAGAGAGAGAACCTGATGATCTCCTGAAGAGAATTAGAAGGTTTCTACAGATTTCTAAGAACTTCTGAAGCAAGACGACTGGTATTGCCACACTATACCAGGGGAAATAAGAAAGTGGACTTCTAATGCTTTCCTTATCTTAAACCTGATGAAATGAAACCAGGGTCTGGTTGTGCTACTGAGTCAGTTATACATGAGTTATATGCCATTATTCAGGATACTTCACTGCCACTACCCAGAAGAAGTTTATTTATTCAATATTCGTTTCAAGTTCCACATGTATTCTATAGAGCTATCTTGCTTTTTATCACTGGTCAACTTTTTGAAGCAATTTATTTGATTTAGTTGTGGTGGATGTAGTAGATTAGAATAGAATAGCTTCAGTTTAAATATATGTTTGCAAGTATTTCATAAACAAAAATGCAGTTGTCACTTGGCATCAAAGCTTTAGCCTGGTGTGAATTCAGAGTAACAGGAAACAGAATAGGCATGTTTAAGCTGTCAGATTCCAAGCCTTGTGGTTTGATAATAAAAGTAGCATGGTTTTTGAAGTTTTTAAAATTTAGCTGTGGCCAAAACTCAGCATTGAGAGCGAAGATCAAGTATTCACGCTGAGGTCTCCTCATTAAGACGAGATGAGGAATTCTTGGCAGCCAAGACAGTCACAGGTGAATATTTTTGGTGGTAACCACAACCTGATGAGGAGAGGCACTGATCATTTATCTGTGCAAGAGAAGTAAAGTGTCTCCATCTCCAGAGATGTACCAAATCCTATGGATTCTTGAATGCCTTTGGTAGTTTCTAGTTGCAATTAGTGTTTCAAAACCCTCTGCCATAGTGGAATGAACACTAGAGTGATGAAAAGACTTTCCTCATACAGTGGTGCCTCGCATAGCGATCGCTCCATTTAGCGATGAAATCGCTTTGCGACGCATTTTTTGTGATCGCTATGCAATGGTCCCTATGGGGTATTTTCGCAGGGAAGCGATCATCGCAAAGCCCCCATTTTCGCACAGCTGATCGGCGGTTTCAAAATGGCTGCGGGGTAAACAAAATGGCCACCCGCTGTGTTTTGGGACGGATTCCTCGCTTTAGAGGCACAGAAATGGCGGCGCTATGGAGGATCTTCGCTCAACGGTGAGTTTTAAGCCCATAGGAATGCATTAATCACATTTTAATGCGTTTCTATGGGCTTTTTAATTTCGCTTAGCGATGTTTTCGTTTAGCAGCAATTTTTTGGAACGAATTAACATCGCTAAGCGAGGCACCACTGTTCTTTACTGGTATGTGAAGTCCATTTGACTCCTTGTTTTACTGGGAGTTGCAGGTAGAATAGACTGAGAGACTGCTAGAATGGTAATGCTCAACAGCTCATTGAGGATACAGCTGAATGCAAAGGAGAGGTCTTTAGGGCCTACGTAGTGTTTCTGATGACAGCAACAAGTTCATGCTTTTCCCCCACTACAGTACTTCCTTAGAAGGTAGCCCAGCACTTTTTTCTTGCTGCTCTGTGTCTCACTTCAGTTGTGGGTGATTATCAGGAGACCCTTTCAAATGCAGCCCTAGATGCAACAACATGAGTGGGGAGAATACTAGAGAATGAATCAGCTTTCTACAGGTCCAGTTGGAAAGAGTTGTGCCTAATCAGTGTACTGGTGACACCGAACTCTTAACCTCCGAATGAACTCACTCAACAGCTTCTTATAAATATTAAACAGCAAAAGGGGGCCGATGGAACCCTGTTGTTCCTCCTAACATAAATGTCACAGGATCAAGCAGAAGTTACCCCAGAATTGCTAGCAGGAAACAGTAGTAAAGCCCCTGTTGTGAGATGTCCTTCCCAAAGAAGGTTGTCTGGCAGTAAGGTTGCAATTTTCAAGCCATCAAGAAAAAAAACACATTTCTTTAAAATTTCTGCACGCTTTTAAACACATGTTTATTTCTGGAAATCTCTGTTTTTAAGACCTTTACTTGCTGCTTTTCCCATTATTACTTTACTGTATTTTACTTTCTGTGCCAACTTAGAAGGATCAGAAACAAGTGTACGAATACTTTTGTAGAAGTCCCTTTACTGCTCAACACTTTCTCATATATTCGGTAAAATGTGAACCATTATTTTCTCACATTATCAAGGACTTATTTATATTTGCACGTGTAACACTTAAGACTTGAGCTGGTTTCTCTCCCCTCCCCCCTTCTGTTAGTGGGATCTTGCAAGCATTATAGCATGCAAGGACTGTGTATTGTATGGGCACATATAGTTAGAAGCAACACAGATCAGTGAGTGCACATCTGAATCCATCTAGTGCCACAAGTCTTTTCTTACTTCAAAAAAATGCCTATTGCAGAATTAAATTCTGGTGCTATGAATTTATAGATTGCATGAGTGGCGATATATCAGACTGCTTTCTTTTCCAAATTATATCCAATTGTTGTGGTAAAGACAGTGTTAGTTGGTGTAAAAATGCAGCAGATCATCCATTTATATAACAATAAAATTAATACAAGCCAGGAAGATTCCATAAGGCATTAACTAATCTGGATTTATTAAACTAGTAATTTAGCAAGCTGGCCTGTTTTGGAAATGAGTGATTGGAAAAAGTAATTACGAAAATCACTATGTTTTTGCTATTGTTACCAGTTTTGCTAATATGTAAAAGATTCTGCTTTGCATGATACATAAGCATCACATAACCAGAGTGCCAGAGCTACACAAGAAGTTGTGGGTGGTCGGGAATTTAAGTTAATTGGTGTGAGACAAGAACAAGATCTCTGCTGCTTATTCTGTTTTCCTGCCCTGCTGTGTTTGATAGTTTACAACATGTCTAAACTTTACACATATATCCAAATCTGTGAACATGTGAAGGTCTAACCTAGAAGAATGAAAAAGAATCTAATGACAAGAAGCTGTATAAGAATTTTGGGCACTGGTGCAGTATGTGCTTCTCCAATTAGCTGTCCAAGATCTCATACAGAGTGTAGTGTTCACCCTTATTAAGTAGTCATGTATATTCATGTTGCAGGCTAATGTTGCTGAGAGGCGGAGCCAAGAGATAGGTAAAAAGCAGGTGGAGTCAGAGAGTGAGTGAGAATCAAGAGGGAAATGAGAGTGGAGAGGGAGATTTGTTGTTGTTGTTTAGTCGTGTCCGACTCTTCGTGACCCCATGGACCAGAGCACGCCAGGCCCTCCTGTCTTCCACTGCCTCCCGGAGTTGGGTCAAATTCATGTTGGTTGCTTTGATGACACTGTCCAATGATCCCGTCCCCTGTCGTCCCCTTCTCCTCCTGTCTTCACACTTTCCCAACATCAGCGTCTTTTCCAGGGAGTCTTCTCTTCTCATGGGATGGCCAAAGTATTGGAGCCTCAGCTTCAGGATCTGTCCTTCCAGTGAGCACTCAGGGTTGATTTCCTTTAGAATGGATATTTGGGAGATCTGAGGTATGATTTGTGAGAAGAGTGAATAAAAACTGTTAAGATCAAATAGAAGGTTGAGATTGATGATAAATAAACCTGTAGAAGTTACTTATGATTATTAAACATCTGTAATCAATAAACATGTTTTATTTAAAAGACAGTGAGGTTTGGACCTTCATCTTCATCCTTCCATAAGTAAAGTATGTTGATTTAGTGATCAACTGGTGGCAGTGTGTGAAACGGACTATTGGTTTGCCTTCATGTGCTCTGTGTTTGGGGAGTCAGGAAGGGGCCATGAGGTGCGAATACCACACAGAGTTATTTTCCTTTCCTGCAATCAAAAGTCCTTTTAGAAACTGTCGATCCCAACCGTGAGCCTGTGGCTGTCATCAAGCAAAGCATATACTTCAGCGCTGAACTATGGGCCTACCCTACCTTTTGACTTTTGCTTCCTCAGCTGGAGGAAGAGTTTAATTTCTACAAACCAAGGCAACCGATGATTGTTTCCTTTTTCTTTTCTTTCAGGACAGCCTGATGCTGGAAGAGACCATAGATTCAGCTGCTGCACTTATCATGGCATTAATAAGGGAAAGAAATCCTGTCTTTGTTGGCCAGATCCTGGAAGCATGAAAAGAGAGGGAACATTTATTTCAAGCAAACTTCCTTGTTTTTCTCACCCAGAAGGAAGAAAACTGATCTATCCTTAATTGACAAGACAGGCAAGAAAATGAAGTAAGTTGTGGTGGGAAATTATATATTGACATATGCAAATTGCTTAAATATAAGCAACAGGATCTGGACTGAGATAAAAAGTCAGAAAAATAATCAGCTACAGCTAGCATCGACTGAATAAAGTCAGTTCACCGATTAATGAGAAAGCAGGTCCTTTAACAAACTGAAATCTGTTGTTGTTGCTTGGCGTCAAGGTGCCTCCAATTTACAGCGACCCTGCAAATGAGAGATCTACCAAATATCCTGGCCTCAACAGCCCTGTTCAGCTCTTGCAGACTCAAGTAAATCCATCTTATATATGGTCTTCCTTTTTTCCTACGGCCTTTCCCCCTAGCATTATTGTTTTTATCAGAGATTCTTGCCTTTTCATGATGTGCCCAAAGTAGGGCAGCAACAGTTTCATCATTTTTGCCTCCAGACATAATTCAGGCTTGATTTGCTCTAGGATCCATTTGTTCATCTTTTTGGCAGTCTAGTATAGCAGCAAAGCTCTCCTTTAGCACCATATTTCAAATGAGTCATTTTTTCCCCTGACACTGTCAGGCTTTCATACCCGTACATAGTAATCTGGAATACAATAGTGCAGATTATCTTGACCTTGGTCTCCAGTGACACATCCTTTCACTTGATGTTCTTTTCCTTCACTGCTGCCCTTTTGAGCCCTCTTCAGGGGTAATGGCTACATCAGCAGAAGAGAATGGAGGGCAGCTATTGGGCAGCAGCAGTAGCTAACGGTGACGCTGGCAAAGGATCTTTCACAGAGAACAGCAATGACACGGAAACTAAGTTTGTTAATATTACATAGAAGAAGACAATGGTAAACCACTGCTGAAGCTTTCTGACCTTGAAAACCCTATGATCAGACAGCCCAAAATGAAACTGAAATCTACCGCCACACTTTTTAGCATTGCAATCTGAATATTTTCATGAGACAGATTTTATATGAAATATAGTTACTCAAAAGTACAGAACATTATGTAAAGTGCCTTGAATGACTTTGGGTCAAGGAAATGTGATATATAAAGGTTACTAGTGTCTTAAAGAGGCATAAGTGTAGAGTTTTAGTAGTGCAAGTCACTTAATTCATGATGTGGATTACAAAGTGTACATGGTTTTAGTAGTGCAAGCTACTTAATTCATGATGTGGATTACAAAGTGTGACAACTCTGCTCTTGAAATAAATATGACTAATACAATTTAATAGCATATTAATTAATGTAATAGCATATTTACTGGGAAATAAGTCCTTTTCTGTTCAATGGACCTTACTTGCTAGGAGGTGTGTTTTCATACAGAGAAGAAAGATTTCTGCAGGTGGTGGTGGTATTTTTTATTGCTGATGTGTTTCAGAAAGACTGTTTTCCTCTCCAGCTTTCTTCAGAAATACCCTTTAACAGACACTAAAAGAGACATTACATTCAAATTTTTCCTTTCTGTTTTTGCTGCTTTTACACTTAGAAAAAAATATGAGAAGTCCAGTGGGTAGCCATCATCGGCAACACCAACCACTACTTACTTGGTGGACTTATTTGGCCTATATGTGTTCAGCTAGCTTGGGGGAAGACATTACTTTGCAGTGAATAACCAGTGAAGTGAACAAGGAAACCATCGTATTAAAAGAATACATGTATTAGCTAACTCATGCCTTAAGCCAGGAGAAAATATTGCAGTAGTTATGTCAGTGTTTCCTGCAACAAACATACAAAGTTCAGATGATATAGTCACATTGATAAACACAAGAGTATGTTGGGAAGACTGTTATATGTGTGTTTAATGCCTTAAGAATCAGTTGCAAAAAATGCCAGTGTTACAGTACTATGTCCTCATTGCATGCTACATATGGCATAAAGATGATCTAAATAACTAAGTGTGCCATTTTCTTTATGGAGTCTCAGTTAGTTACTTTTTCCCTCTCAGCTGTATTCTGTTAGCATTAAATGTGGATGAGTACACAGTTATGTCTGTTTTCATACGGTGTATAAATAAGTATAGCTACTATCAAAAAAATCCCCAAGAGAGAGACACTGATCATTCTCAGAGACTTTAGTGCTAGAGTTGGTGCTGATCACAATTCTTGGCCCACTTGTCTAGACTGTTTTGGCATTGGGAAGATGAACGAAAATAGCCAACGATTGCTGAAGTTTTGCTGTTATGGTCTCTGTGTCAGCAATATGTTCTTTAATACGAAGCTTCAACACAGAGTTTCCTGGAGACATCCAAGATCAAAGCATTGGCATCAGCTCGAATTGATCCTCACTAGATGTTCTAGCCTTCCTAGTATCGCGATCACACGCAGCTACCAGAGTGCTGATTGTGATACTGATCACTCCCTGGTGTGTAGTAAAGTAAAACTGCGAACAAAGAGATTGTATCACACAAAAAAGGAAGACCACGTATTGACATCAGCAAGTCTCGCGATCAAGAAAAAGTGGAGGAATTTGCCCAAGCGCTTGAGGAAACCCTTCCAGGCCTGGCTGATGCAAATGCACCTGAATGATGGGAACATTTCAAGAACGCTGTTTATAACACCGCCCTGTCCACATTTGGCAAGAAGACCAAAAAGAAGGCATACTGGTTGGAAGAATTGATGCCAGCCTTCAAGGATAAGAGGAGGCTCTAGCAGCATACAAAGCCTATCCTAGTGAGTACAACTTGCAGGCTCTTTGACTTGCTTGTAGCAAAGTCCAACAGGCTGCCAGCAGATGTTCCAATGCTTATTGGCTTCAGTTCTGCTCTCAGATACAAACAGCAGCAGACAAAGGTAACGTCAATGGAATGTGTGACAGTATCAAGCAGGCTTTAGGTCCAATGCAAAAGAAATCTGCTCTGTTGAAGTCTGCTACAGACTTGATCATCCAGGACCGAGCACAGCAGATGGAATGCTGTGTGCAGCACTACTCTGGGCTATTTTAGAGATAGAATATAGTAACCGAAGAGGCTCTAAATAACATTGAGTGCCTGCCTGTCTTGGAAGAGTTGGACAACAAACCAACTTTAGCAGAAATAAAAGCAACCCTGGATTCCCTCGCCTCTAGCAAGGCAACTGGGAAGGATAACATCCCTGCTGAAGTGCTGTAAAGAGATCACCACCACCAAGCTGTACAAAATCTTTTGTGTTTGCTGGAGGGAAGGTGGAGTCCCACAGGATGTGAAGGATGCAAACATCATCACATTGTATAAGAACAAATGAGACAGGGGTGGCTGCAATAACTACCATGGGATCTCAGTGTTGTAGAGAAGCTGCTTGCCCGTGTTGTGCTGAGGAGACTCGAGGTGCTTGCAGAGCCCATCCAGAGTCACAGTGTGGATTTCGAACTAATAGATTCACCACTGACATGGTATTCTCCCTCTGACAGCTGCAGGAGAAATGTAAAGAAGAATGACAGCCACTCTTTGTGGCCTTCATAGATCTCACAAAAGCCTTTGATTTGGTTAGCAGGGACAGCCTTTTTAAAATACTTCCCAAGATTGGATGTCTACCTCGACTCCTTAACATCATCAGGTCCTTTCATGATGAAATGAAGGGCACTGTAGTTTTTGATGGCTCAACATCAGATCCCTTTGACATCTGAAGTGGAGTGAAACAGGGCTGTGTCCTTGCGCCGGCCCTGTTTGGGATCTTTTTTGCTGTCATGCTAAAGCACACCACACCTTTGGAACTGTCTATCTCCAAACTAAATAAGATGGAAAGCTCTTTAATCTCTCTAGATTGAGAGCGAAGACCAAAGTCCAGTTGAAATGCAT